CCTGCGGGCGAGGCGCTCAGGCGGCCGCCTGTGCCGCGCGGCCTCCGGGGCAGCTTGCGCGCCGCACCGCGCTCGGCCTCGCCGCCCTGGCCCGCTCTCCCGGCGCGCCGCTCTCCCCGCCGGCCAGGGCTTTCCGCGGCCCGCCTGAGCGCCTCGCCCGCAGGCGCCGCCTCGCCGGGGCCGCGGAAAGCCGGAGCCCGGGCTCCCGCAGGGGCCACGACGGGCGCCCGCCCGCGCTCGGCGGAAGCATTGCTGAGCGTGCTCTCCATGGAGCGCGGCCTCGCGTGTATGTTGGATCTGTGCATTATAGCACACACACAGACACACTCTATAGGTAGCATAGTCCGTCTGTATTGTCTGTCTATATTGTCTGTCCTGTATATATACATTATATATTGCATACATTACACAATGTGTGTATACACATTATGACATATACATTGTATAGTGTGTCTATATACATCATAACGTATTCTTGCTTACACTGTAAGTCCATACAGTATGTATGCTACATATGTGGTACATACACATTATATGTGCTCATACGTAGAGCTATAGCATGTGTGTCCCACACTGTCCATTCTTTATTTTCACATAGTTATGGCTTTATAAGTGTATTTCCACAGCTGACCATGCAGCTATAAAAACACGGTGGGATCCTTGGAGAGATACTAGGTTATTCAAATCTGGAAACGAGGATTGGGTTCATCCCTGCGTGTCCTGGGGGAAATTGGGCCGCCGCGATCCTGTGTCCACTCGCTTGGGATTAAGCTCCATGAAATGAAGTGGAATTCACTTCTGATTAGATAGCGAAAACGGGGCTTTCTCCTTGATAACACTCGGTTTCACTTCCAAGCAAGGGTGCACAGAATTATAGCCGTCACCTCTTGCTGTGAATTTTAGGCTGCCATCCCAGACATGCCAGCTTGGAAGAAAGAAGCCCGGAGGGGAACGGGGGCGTTGCTCACGTCCGTTCTAGCGGGGAAAGTTTTCCAGGATTTGGAGCGATTTTCAGCTAAGGAGTTCTGCGAATCCGCCTTACGTACGTGCTGAAATGGAAGGGAACGCTCCCTCCTTTCTTGCAGCTGCGGGACCTTCGCGTATGCGAGGCTCCCACCAACTGCGAGCGGGCATATTCGGAGTAGCCAAAGCCTTAAAAGACGTGACAGCAGCATTCATTTTTAGGCTGCGATTTCAGCACTTCTACCTGCGAGTAAGCTTCACGGATCTCTGCCCAAAAGCAAAACCAAACAAATGCGCAACAGCGTTGGATCGGCACCGCCGTCCTTTTCATTGTCCTTTTCTTGTTTAAAAAAAATGGCTTGGTTTTCTATAAAAGCCACTTGTGTGGCCTTCCGAATTCCGAGGTCTGCGCTTCTCTGCCCCCCCCCTAAAGACCCCACCGGGCAGCCCTTCCTGTTTTCTGATGTGTGTCGTCCCCCTCCCTCCCCGCCTTTGACAGAGAGATCTTTTTACACGTGTAGGCTGCTATCCAGACTGGAAAGCAAACCTGCCAGTGCTGACATGATTTCAAAACTGCAGCCGGGATGGAACCGCAACGTATAGCTTCAAACCCACTTTTTTTTTTGGCCGGGCGCGCGAACGGCAACACCCTGTTTCTCGAATTCATATTGCCAGCAATATATTGTCCCACCTGGGATGTGCGGAAGACAGGCGCCTGGCAGCGCAGGCTTATGCCTGCTACCCAGAAGCAAGTCCCCGTGTACTTCAAGGGACCTTATTTCCAGGTAAATGCACGCTGGCACGCAGCCTTAATCTCTGCATGCCTCCTCCTCCTCTTCCTTCCGGGGCTGACAAATCCACGGCCTTCTTCCTCTAGTCTAAGCTCTTTTTGTTCCCCACTCTCTTCCAATTTACACATTTCTGGAGGAACTGTCCTCGGCAGGGAAGGAAGGTCCCCTCCTGCCTGCCTTCGGCAAAGCACGCGCACGCGCACCGCGAGGGCAGCGGCTCCACGGAGCGGTCTCTCGCCTTACCTGGTCCTTCGGTGTCGGAGGATTCGCTGGCCGAGTTCTGGATCGGGTCCCTGGCATCGGAGGATCTCTGCAAATGGAAGCTGGAAGCCACGTCGTGGGAAGCTTGGGGAGGTCTTAAACTGTCGGGCAGTCTTTCCAAATTCATCCCACCTTTAAAGGAATCCATAGCAGGGAGAAGGAGGAGGAGGAGGAGGCTCAGTCGCGTTCTGCTTCGGAAGCGACTGCGAGGGAGTGTGTGTGCGCGCGCGCGCGCGTGTCGGCTGCTGTTTTTTGCTTTTAAAAACGAAACGAACGAAACACGGTGCTGCTTCTTACTCCACGGAGGCTGCAGAAAGTCTGCCTTTTTTAAACGGCCACGGCCCCTCTTCGCTCCTTAGATCCACTCGGCTTCGGGAGGAGCCGGGCTCGCTGCCTGCCTGACAGGCGCCTCCGAGCCGCGAAGCGCGCGGGCTGCATGCGCGGGGAAGTGGCGACGGCGCCGCCGCCCCGCTCGTACGCGAGGCGAGGCGAGGCGGGCGAGGCGAGGCGAGCGAGGTGGCTGGTTTCGAGGGAGAGCGATGCAAGTGACCTGCCCGAGCACGAGAGCGCGTAAGTTGAGGCGAGGCTCCTCCCCCGGCGCCCGCCTCCCCGCCCCCTCAAGGTCCCAAGCCTCCCCGGCCGGCCTCCTCCTCCTCCTCCTCCTCCTCGCCGCGAGATCACGTCCGCGGAGCGCGGCGCTCAGCCCGAAGGAGCTGCCTGCGCATTCCCCGGCCGGGCGGGCTCGGCTCTCGCGCTCTGCCTCGCGCCGGCGGCTCGGCGCATTCCTTAAAGAGACAGCCCGGCCGCGGCGCCCGGAAGGATCTCCGCTCCCCAGCGGCGTCGCCCTCTCCCGCTTCCCCCGCTCGGCTCCGCTTTAAAGAATCCAGACTGCTGGAACGCCGCGCGGCTCCCCCGGGGCGCCGGCAGCCAATCAGCGCGCGCGCTCCTCTCGCTCCGTCCCTGCCCGCGCGCCTGCCTCCTTCCAGGATTTACGGAGCGATCCAAGGTCCGTTCCAGTCAAGGGGACCTTCCGCCATTGACATCACCGGGGTGGGAGCGTGGGCTCTCCACGCCCCCGGCCCCCGCCTTTCAAGGTTCCGTCTTCTGTGACAGCGAGCCCTGCCACAGGGTATTCCACACCGTTTCCTCCCTGCCCGGGAAATGTCTGGCACTGAGACCACATCCTTGCGCGCATATCCGATTGACATCTATGGGAAAGCCGTTGTCGGCGAGCAGTGGCTGTTTGAAAGTCTCGGCATGCACACCAGGGTTAACTCCTGCGACAACAGCAACTTCCTAAGCCCTCAACTCTAAGCTTACCTGTGAATACAGTTGATGGGATACAGCAGAATATAACTGCGAGTAAACCCGTGTTGGTGTAGGATCGGCTTGTACAGCTTTTCAGAACAATCTCACCACATGCATAATTAATTTACTAGGGAATAGGCCCTATTGAAGACAATTAGGCTTACTTCTAAGTAAGCAGATTATGTAGAAAGAGTGGCCGTTTACCATCCTTGCTACACTTGCCTGTGAACTCAGGATTCTAACAAACCAACCATATACATGTTGACTTAGATCTATGTTGCCCTTTAGTCAGTAGGGCTTCATGGGTTGAATGCAGACCTGATCATAATCTTCGATCTATTGACATGTATTAATCAAGAGTAAGTTACTCCCATGATTTCAGTGGGTCTACTGTCTGGATCCAACTTACTTACCTTAGTGTAACCATTATTAATCACAGTGGGTCTAACTTCTAATTGGCTGTGAATAGGATTGCACAGTAAGCTACTCTAGGACTGCTAGTAAGCTAATAAGAGGGGGTAGTTCTTCCGAATTTATTTGCACTAGGGAAATGGGCTGCTTTTGGGGTGTAAGGCCAACGGAAATCAACCCAATCTGGATCGAAATCAATGAAACTGCTCTTGTATAGATCTCTTTCCTCCTCAACCACATTTCTTTAAAACATGCATATTTAAAAATTATATCTAAATGCTCCATTGAAATATCTAGTTACTGTAAAATCTAGTTCTTCAAAACTCAGTAATTTTTGAAGAAAGCCTAAATTAAACTTGACTGGAGAAATAATTACACCCCACCTCCATTTTTCAGGGAAATACAAACCCATTGAATATCTTCACACATGCATGTACTGATTTTATGATGGTGTGGAAACAGTGACTATAGGAAACTTCTCAGAGCATTACATAGTTGATTCTACCTAAACATATCAGTAAAGTCCAGTGGCCTAGATTCTGGTGAAGGTAAAGAAAACATGATAATGATATGTTTTCGTGGGATAACTAACTTGGTGTTTTGCTGGCCATTTCTGGAGCTTGTGACGGGGGACATGATAATTCAGGCCCAAACAGCCTTAAATCCTTGCCCTGCTTCAGAGCTTCCCTTGGTTTCTCCAGGTTTAGATAGGAGTTTTCAGGATGAGGATTTTTTATGATCCAAAATATAGGCCTTAGCTTGGTGAGGCTACTACCAACACCTGTCTGGGTAAGCATGAGTGTGGCTGATCCTTGTGAGAGGGCACGTGGTCAGTTTAAATGCCTTCTCTGTATATCTGGGGTCCTTTTCACAAGTGTGCCCTTATACTGGCTTTTGCATTTCTTTGATCCTCATACTGGGAGTGCCTGTTGTATTAATGGCTGGTTTTAATTCGGTTTCATGGGATTTGCAGTTGAAACTCCCCATATTATCATCACAGGTCCTAACATGGATTATCCTGAATTTAGTGGAAGTTGCTCTCCTGGGTAAAGGTCTACCAGGCTGCAGCCTTGGAGAATTTTCTTGTCTGATACTAAACTAGCATCTCTTGGGAAATGCTTTAGGGCTGCAAGTCATAACCTTCGCATTCAAAGAGACTTTTGCCCCATGTGATGATAAACTACCCACACTTCAGAAAACTTGTAAGAGTGACTTTAGAATCCATCCTATGGGCACTTACATTCAAGTTCGTCTGATTAAATGGGTGGCTTTTGGGACAGACCAGTTTGCAACTCCGTGACTTCACAAGGACTAGTGAAGAGCAATAACAAGGACTTCTCCATGGTGAACTGGCTGTAGTGAATTATAATCTCACCTAATTCTTCTGCTTCTCTATTTTAAAGCTTGTTGACCATTTACTTTCAGTTACCTTCCAACTTCACCCAGCTTCAGGGACAAAATCAACTTTTTTCTTAGGTTGCTTGATGCCAGGAAGGTCATGGTTTGGGTAGGTCCATAGTGAGCTTTTGTCCAGATCCCTCTGGCCTTTTGCCCTAGCCACTTGCATGCTCGTTGAATATTTTAAACTGGGGAAAGGCTCTTCACCCTATTTTTATCCTTGCAAGATCTTGGCCAAGCTGAACTTGCTTTAACTTGGACTCAGAGGCAGAAGAGAAAATCTTGTGTCCCATGTGCAGGAAGCAAGCAACTGCTGTCCTTCCAGATCCACTGGGAACCTGGTTTGTCCTGTCTATGGTTTCATCTCCAGAGCCTACTGGGTAGATGTGTTATGGTCTGATCACTACTTGAGCATACTAACATAAGATAATGCATACTATTACAGGGGGTTTCGGGGGTGGCAATAAACCAGCGGGTAACTCTCATAGTCTAGTATTTATAGTTCCTCCACGTGACTATATAAATAACTCACAGCGTTGGCGCATATTAAATTCCTCACTGGTTTTGATCTCTGGGATTTCTGGGATGCAGCTATGTGTGCATGTGTGCGTGCATACATATTCCGCCTCTTATCTTTCAACAAAAAATGTTCAGATTCAGGCCTTTCAGCCTGCTCTCTATCCACCACCCCTAAAACATATTAATTACAATATGTATTAAGCAATAAATATTGATCATCATGCAGGTGAGCACAGTGTGCATAGCACAGGTGCTTTGACAGAAATGCCAGTCCTGGATGTTTGACTGGTGCTGGTGCTGGTGGGAGCTCTTGAGCCATGGCAAAAGTAGGCACACTTTGGACCCCGTGAAGTCCGTGGGACTTCAGGCTTAACGAGCTCGTCTCGTCGATTTCAATGGGACCTAAATCCAATTACCATGGCATCTGTCTAATTGTATATGTCTACTCCGGAGCAGGTCCTGTCCGGTTCTCGGATGAGTCCCCGCCTCTGTCCAGGCAGGAGAGGCCCCATTTTACTGTGCCAAGTCAACTACGGCGCAGTAAGAGGCACACCTAAGCCCTGGAAGCCGGTCCCCTTGAAAGCCCCGGGGAGAGCGCGCCTCCGATGCGGGGAAGTTTCCTTGCAGAAGGCCGGCCGGCCGCGCCTACGCTCCCTCCGGCTTGCCCTCCGGGGCGAGTGTTTAAGGGACTCCAGTGGGCATACGCGCCTTTGTTCGGAAGCTGCACGCCTCGCCAAGCGGACAGCGGGAACCCCCCCCCCCGTGCTATTTTTGAAAGGGCCAGGCTGGGTTACACGGAAACCCACAGAATCAGGAAAATATTTCCGCAGGATCCCTTTGCCCGGCTGGATTCAGAGCGCGTTCGCCTCGTCTAAAACGTTCCCGAGCACGCGGCGAACTCCTGCTCTGTCCGTCTGGGGCGCGGAGTCGGCGCCAAGCTCCTTATCTGCGGGAGGCGGGGAGCGCCATGCGTGGATTTTTCCAGAGCAGGAAACCCCCCAAGAAGCCGGTTTCGGCTTAGCAAACTCCTTAAGTCACGGCACTGGGTTCCTCGCGTTGATGAGCCCGCTTTATCGCCCCTGCGGCTTGCTCCCAACCTCTCCCCCCACCCCCAGCAAGTGTGTGGAGGGAAGACTGGAGAGTGGCCAGGCGGGTGCTTCCCGCTCCACTGCGGAGCAAAGCCTGGCCCGCTCCCCCGTTAAGACGGGCTGCTCACACCTTTCCTGAGACCCCCGCCGTCCCGGAGCGACTCCCATCTTGCTTTCCAAGTGCGCGTGTGTTGAGGAGTCGAGTCTTAAGCTCCCATGCGGCTCATTTAGGCTCCGATCCTAAAGACACAACATGTAAATGCCACTTCAGTGCCAGGGGCAAGTTTCCGGTACGGTCAGGACCCCTGTGTGGTTGCGAGACCAGGGAGCCCCCTCTGCGTGCGAATCTGCGGCCTGCCCTAAGAGCCCTCGGGAGTGAAGTGTCAACGTCGGTTCCAGACTTGAAAGTGGGTCATCGTCTCCA